CTAGAGAATAGCCTTAACATACCTTTCCAATGAACGCTCGAAAGACCGTAGTTCCTTCACGAAAATTGTTCCTTATGTCCTAAGCTTTGCAAATACTATATATATTGCCCCAACTTGTTGAAACATCTGTAGAATTCATAAAAACAACCATAAAAGGGTCCCGAAATGATTACCTTAGTTAACCAAGTGTAAACCTTGAAGAAACACCAATAACTACAAATTTATATCTTCAAAAACCAGCTCCAAACACAGCTAATAGAAGGGAAAAACGATTGCCACGTGTACGGATTACGTTTCTAGGCACGGGGGCAATGTTTAATGGTAGAAATCATTAAAAACTAACCTTCATCATGCTAGAACTCCATAGGAACTCTCTCTTAAGCGTTCTCTCTGGTTTGGAACTGAAATGGAATGTTTTCATGGCTTAAAACGTTAACTAAGCCGACATACCATATTTTTTACCTAACCCAGATTCTACCCCGACAGTCCCTACTAAAACCCTTATAACTTTTTGCTCTGATGTCGGTTTGATACGAGGTTTTGTGCGTTGCAAACTAGACTCGTAGGCCTTCGATTTGATGGGTGATAGGCCTTCTAACTCTTTATATATTGGGAGAAAACATCCAAGACATATTACCCAAATTTTAGACAAATCTTTAAAAAGGAACTTACGATAAGTTTCGTCAACTTTATTTTGCCACTTACTTAACTTCAAAACTTGAGATGCAAGCCTTGAACACTTAAAATATGACATACCATATTATTTTTAATTTATTACTCACCCTCCTTGTCTTTCCACGAAGATACGAGTTAATTTAGATATTTTGGAAAGTCGGGGTGTTACAGTAACATCCCTAAATATTAACCAAGAGTCGCATGTCGATTTACCGTTGCTTTAATTACTACAATATGTTTTATTCTCATTTTGGGAACTTAAAGTTTTGTGATAATTGAAAACTTCCTTAACATAAATTGTGATCGTAATTTAAGGTATTGTATTGGGGTATTTTCGTAATATTCTAATTAGAATTATTTACAACTTTAAAAGGAGGTGACGGATATATATATATAGGTGTATATGTATACATTTTGGGCAGCACAAAACTATTTGGGCAGCCACCTTTTGGAGACAGTTGTGCATTGTGATAAACATCACTTTTGAGACTATATTTTGACACCTCTTCTAGTCAAATTTGTCTCACCTGAAGTATAAAAACCTTAGAACATTATCTAACAAGTTGTTCTTCAAAATCACAAAAGAAAAACTTGTCCCTTTTGGCTGGAATTCGAGACACACTTCTTTTTGGTAAGTGGAAAAATCTGCTTTTGAGTATTTTAAGCATAACTTGAGTTATAGAACTTCGTTTACAATGAATAAATATGATCTGGAAATCTAATTTGTAGACCTACAACTCTTATGTTTATGTAAAACTCTAATTTAGTTGTTATGGATTTGAAATATGGAACGCAACATAGGACAAGTATTGTCCAGAGTTCGAAAGTAGAAATCATGTATGGACAACTGTGAGTGTTTTGAATATATTTTTTTGTACAAAATATATTTTGCGGTGATTCTTGTTTATTTTCAACCTTAAGATATGTAGTTACATCTTTCATGAAGGTTATAAAGTCTAGTTTTGTCGTTTTCCTTTTCAAATCTAAGTTGCGACATAAGGTACTAGGCTGGCCAGAATCACTGTTTTGGGAGCATAGTCATAGTTGTACAGGCTAAGCTTACTTGTGATGATAATCCTGTTTTACTTCGACATTATTAAGATACTAGGAATTAAAAAAGTTATTTATTTGTATTTTTAAGGTTGTATATACTCATGAACAAGTTTAGGACCTTGAAACGTTGGTTGGTCTCTTGCAACTTTAATATATGTACCTACCTCTTTCATGAAGTATAAAGTCTAGTTTTGCCGTTTTTCTTTTCAAATCTAAGTTGCGACATAAGGTACTAGGCTGGCCAGAATCACTGTTTTGGGAGCATAGTCATAGTTGTACAGGCTAAGCTTACTTGTGATGATTAATCCTGTTTTACTTCGACATTATTAAGATACTAGGAATTAAAAAAGTTATTTATTTGTATTTTTAAGGTTGTATATACTCATGAACAAGTTTAGGACCTTGAAACGTTGGTTGGTCTATGGTCTGAACTCGCGAAGTTGTGTTGGACTGTTTCTTTGCTAAAGCACTGACGTTAAAGACTATGGTCTACACTCTTTTAACTGCTGGTATATCTGAAGGTTGATCTTGGTACCTTGGTTACCTCTTGTCACTTTAGATTGTCGTGTTGGTATCCTTTAAGACGTTAAAGACGCTTGTGTAACTCGCCCACTTATACGGATTGTTTGATCACTCGGCACTCTTGTTGGGACCTTGTCCTTCTTGTGGCTGTGACTTTGTCACTATTGCCATGCCTCTTTATTCAGATCATTTGTCATCTTGACTCTGGATTTTTAGTCCGTCTCAAGAATGGAAATTGTCCATTTTAAGTACGAACTAAAAAGCCATTTTTAATATGGTTCTTGATTCTCTTGATTATTGGGTTTTGATCCTTTTTTATACCTGCTTGTGCTTGGTGTGACGACATGATATATATATTGGGCGAGCCTTGTTATTGAATCTCTTGGAAAATGGTGCTATGAGCGTTCTTGACATTTGATCTTTAAGTATCAAACTTGATACTCTTTATATAATGTTTACTTGATTTGGTTGTTATGTTTCAATTGTGCTGCCTATGACTTGAGAAAGTTTTGAGAGCCTTAAGGAAGATCACATTTGCATATAGAGATTTATTTTTGTATAAACCTTGAGACTTGTACATGATCTATGTGTTGTATATTTACAGGAAATTTTGAGGACTAATTTGATCATGTCACCATGGGTTGTAATATAAGTATGTCTATATGTTTGGTTCTTTTGGGGTGTGTAAGCCCAAGTCTTGTAATATATTAAATTTACCACTAATTTTGAATGATTGTGTGAAGCATGAACGACCTAGTTTGGGTACTCGGAAGTTGGTAATATTCTTTTTATGTCATTTTTACTAGTGTGAGGACAATATATGCATAAAAATCTCGTGAGTTATTGGCTTATATTATTTCGGAAGGGTCGCTACAAGGACCATGGTTAAATGGGGGAGATTTCTTGTGTTAATTCTTGTGAGTTGTTTGATATAAATTTCTCTGATAGTCCTTTTACTTGGTGGAATGGGAGAGTTGATGAAGCTTGTATTTTTAAAAGGCTAGACATGGTGATGATTAATTCTGAGCTACAAGAACTCTTAGGAACAGTGGCATTGAGCATTTAGCAAGGACTGGGTTTGACCATGCACCTTTGTTACTAACATATGGAGGTTTGTCTCAAAGTTTTAAAAAACCATTTAGGTTTTTAAAATTTTGGACTGACAGGGCGGGCAGATTTTAAAGATATGGTAAAGGCTAACTGACGTGGACAGTATTCTGATGATGTGTTTTTACAATGGAAGTTGAAACAAAAGAAGACAAAGCTGGCTCTGTCTAAATGGAGTAGAGAGCAGTTTGGGGACATTTTCAAGCATCTACTAATAAGAGAAGAAATAGTTAGGTTGAAGGAAGAACTATTTGAGCATAGTCCTACTACAGATAATAAAGTTGTGTTAAACCAAGCTCATGCTGAATATAAACTTTACCTACATTTAGAGCTGTCAAAATGGGCTTGGCCCGCTAGGCCGGCCCAACCCAACCCTTGAATTAAATGGGGTTGGGCTCGATTTTTTCAACCCATTTAGGAACGAGGCTTTTTAGCCCAGCCTCATTTGTCCCGCTGGCCTCGTAGGCCTAACCCGCAAGCCTCAGAGGCCAGCCCGCGGGCTGTGAATTTAAAAAATATTTATTATATATATTTTAAGTAGTGTTTTACTTGTTAAAACTGTCAATAAATATTTTTAAAATATCAATATAAAATCAAGACTATATTTTTTACATATCTTTTACATTTTAGGGTCATTAGCCCACTAAATTTCCTTATTAGCGCAAATTCATTACTCCATTATAACTATGAATCTTTGACCTCTTTTACTTTTGTTTTTATGCCTAGTTTTTCACTTCTCATTTATTGTCTTGTTTATGAAAATAATGATCATACAATGTTTTTTTGCTCGGATGAATCTTATGAATGTTGTATCTTGACTATTATGTATTTGTTTTGTAAATATCCACTGGAGAATGTGTAATTCATGAATGAATTTATGTATGTATTGATGTCGTGTCCATCGGACATCAACGTTCGGATCCTTTCTAAGAGGAAAAATGTTGTCCGTTTTTTGGTTGAAGGACCAACCCGTCCCAACCCGTGGCTCGCTTAGGGCTGGGTTGGGCTGCTATTTTATCGGCCCTTTAATTAAAAGGGTCAGCCCGTCCAACCCATTTAACTCTCTAGCCCGTTAGGATTGGGTTGGGTTGGGTTGGGTTGGACCAACCCATTTTGACAGCTCTACCTACATTATAAAGAAGAGTTTTGGAGGCAAAAGGCAAGCATTCAGTGGTATTCAGAGGGGGATAAAAATACCAAGTTTTTTCATGGTTGGGTAAGAGATAGGAGGAGGAGATTGAATTTACAGAAAATTATGAAAGCAGATGGACAATTGGCAGAAGGTGAAGATGCAGTTGCAACTGAAGCTATAAGAATTTTCCAGAATCAGTTCTCTGGAAATGACTTAAACATAGATTACTCTCTACTACAAAATATTCAGCCACTGGTGACTACAGAGGATAATGAATTGCTGAATATGACTCCTGATAAAACTGAGGTAAAAAAGGTGATCTTTGAGCTTAATGGGGAGAATGATTGTGGCTCGGATGGTTTTACAGGTCACTTCTTTCAAGTATGTTGGGAGATTGTTGGGGTTGATATTCTGAGTATTGTTCAAGCTTTCTTTGTGGGGAATACTCTTCCCAATTCGATTACGCATAATAATTTGGTATTATTGCCTAACAAGGAGAATATTCAGACTTTCACATACTTAAGACCAATTAGTTTCAGTAATTTCATAAACAAACTGATTTCTAGGCTCATGCATGATAAATTGGAGGGCTTGCTACCAAGATTAATTTCTGTGAATCAATCTGGCTTTGTGAAAGGTGGAAGTATTTCTGAAAATATTTTGTTGGCTCAGGAAATTATCTCAGATATAATGAAGAGGGGGAAAACCATCCAATGTTGCGATAAAGGTGGACATGGCTAAGGCGTATGATAGAGTGAATTGGAGCTTATTAGTGAAAGTTTTGGGGCAGATGTGATTTAATTCAAGGGTGGTTGACAAAATTTGGAGATTGATTGCTAACAACTGGTACTCTGTACTACTTAATGGGCAAACACATGGGTTCTTTCACTCAACTAGAGGGGTGAAGCAAGGGAATCCTCTATCCCCTGCTTTATTTATCATTACAGCAGAGATACTCTCAAGAGCACTAAACTAACTCTTCCAGAACACTGATTTTATAGGTTATGGGATGTCAAAGTGGAGTGAGAAGCTAAATCATCTTGCTTATGTTATGATACTATCATATTTGCTTCTGCAGAAGAGAAAACTATTGAACTGATAATGAATGTCTTAAAGGAGTATGAAAATCAGTCTAGACAGAAGATTAATAAGGATAAAAGTTATTTCTACATGTTCAGTAAAGCTAGCAATGCTCTTATAAGGGAAATGGAGGAAGCTACAGGTTTTGTGAGAGGTAACTTTCCAATAATCTACTTAGGGTGCCCTCTCAGTCATGCCGGAATGAAGAAAGCACACTTGAATGATCTGATTAAGAAAGTTCAGAACAAGTTGCAAGTCTGGAAAGGTAAGCTTTTGTCTTTTGGTGGTAAGGTGGTATTGATCAAACATGTGTTACAAAGTCTACCTATATACGTGTTGTCAGTTCTTGTGCCACCAATATGTGTAATTAAGGACATTCAGAGTATTTTTGCAAGATTCCTATGGAATTTCAAAGAAAATGGCAGGGCAAAGCACTGGATAGCATGGGATGACACTTGTCTGCCTAAAGAAGAATTGGGGGCTTGGCTTTAGATCCCTTTTTGATGTGTCCAAGGTTGTATTTGCAAAGCTTTGGTGTTAGTTTAGAACTAAAGCTTCTCTATGGGCTTATTATATGTGGAACAAGTACTGCAAGAGGTTTAAACCTCAAGTGGTGGAATGGAAGGGGGGATCTGAAGTTTGGAAGATGATGTTAATGGCTAGAGATAGTTTTGATCAAGAAATATGGTGAGAACCTAGATGTGGACATGCCAGCCTATGGCATGATAATTGGACACAACTTGGAGCATTACAATATATTATGCCTATTGGCCATGTTATGGATGGGAATTTTGAAGAAGTTAATCAACTTAGAGTGGATGAAAGGTGGAATAATGACCTGATGACAGAGCTTATAGGTAAAATATTTTTGATCATGTGACTCATGTCATGGGTCACATTCAGCAGACAAAAGATAGGGACAAGCAGTGGTGGATGCCTAGTAGTAAAGGGTTGTTCACTGTAGGGAGTGCATGGGAGATTATCAGAAGCAGAAAATACCCTCAGAAGGATATTATGTTTATTTGGAAAAAAAGGATTACCCTTCAAAATCTCTTTTCTGATGTGGAGAATATAGTTTAAGAGAATTCCAATTGGAGAGGTCCTGGTTAGAAACATGATAACTGATAAGATGGAATGTTGTTGTTGTGAAAATAACATTTCAGAATCGTTTAACCGTTTGTTTGTCCTATGTCATGATGCCAATTATCTATGGAAGTTGTTTGCTGGAGCTATTGGTATGCAGGGTCCATTTAATCAGATGAAACATACCATATATAAGTAGTGGGATGAAATTGTGCACCTAAGTTGATTCTTTTGTGCAGAGCAGTACCAAGCTTCATCATTTGGCAAGTGTGGAAAAGAAGAAGTATGATCTTACATGGGGAAGTATGACTATACATTCCATGGTTTTGGAGATTAAAAGAAATATTCATCTAATGGCAAAAATAATATACCTCTGGTTAGCAAAAATGCCTAACAGTTGGCCAGCCATTGTACAATTTCTGGAGAGCTACATACCATTAATAAATACCACAATGGTAAGGTAGAAGTGTCCTAAAGGGGATAGTTACAAATGCAATTCAGGTAGAGGAATTGGGTCAAATGCATTTTACATTAGAGATGAGCATGGAGATTTGGTGTATGTTGAAGCATGGAAAACTGATGGTTATTCTGCATTAGAGGCAGAAGTGAAAGGCTTTAAAGGGGGTCTGCTACATTGCTTGAGTCATAATCTCCTCCCTCTTATAATGGAAACAAATTCTTTAATCATTAAGTGGATTTTGGATGGAATTTGGGAAGTGCGCTAGACTATCTCAGTAAACATTAGAGAGATTAGGGAGGCAATGGAGAACAAGGATGTGATAGTATTGCATACATTCAGAGAAGGGAATAAGCTTGCAGATTATTTAACTAACATGGTTGTTTTATCTCAAAAAACTAACATGGTTGTTAATTTTGCAGGTACAAATTCCATTCATTTTAACCACAAAAATGAACTACCAGCACAAGTAAAAGCAATTCTACAGTTGAATAAGTAAGGAACCCCAAATATAAGAATCAAGAAGGGTAAAAACAAGTTGTGTAGATCATAATGATAAAACGAATTCAAAACAGAAGATTTAATCACAGTTCAGTTGTACAAAGACTGCCAAATTTTTCAAAGTTTGAGAGTTACCTTGGACATAGGGGTGGGTACTGATCTTGAACATGAATTGAGGCAGTGGTATCAGCTCTATGGAGCTCAATCTGCACAAGACATGGGAAAAGATTAGCATAAAGCTCAGAATGAGTCTTTCATGAAGTAGGTGGTACGAGAAGGGTCATACCTGGATTTGTCGTGGTTGAGGACAAGCTGGGAGCTGAAGAAGTCTTCAAAGGTGTTGATTTCATAACATTGGTGAGACTTGGTAAATGCTGAATGAAATTCACCCAAGCTCGTGGATATTGCCTTCGTCCCGTCGATCTGGGAATGGAGACTGGAGCTTACTGGAGTGCGAATCTAGCTTCTCCGGTGACATCAGCTTTCTCGGACGGATATTTTGGGCTTTGTCTGTATGTGTTTGTTTCTTTTTTAATTTTTGTTGTCTTGGCGTTTTTCTGTTTTTTTTTTTTTGTTTCATTTTAGACTTGGGCTTTGTTTCCATTTGAGTTAACAGAGTGGACCTTTGGTCCTGTTTTAATTTTTAAAAAAACAAGTATTTCATATATTACAATAAAAGTCCAATCTCGACTTAGCAGAAATGCACCAAACTTTGCAGATCAGACATATAATTCATGCTTAAAACCTTCAGAAGTTTCGAAATAATTTTTCATTCTTTAAAACTAATAACAAACCTTTTAGTTGACGCAAATTGCTGAAACAACGCCAAGGCACCCTAAAAACTTGAAACTCACCCAAAACTCATTTGGAACCTTCTGAACACAAACCAAATATGTTTCTAGCTTGAAAATTATAATTCAAACTCAATGGAATCATCAAAACATCCAAACTAGGTCACCTTAACCTAATGTTGACCAAAGTCAACTTTAACTTAAGAAACTCCGAATTTCCAAATAAGAAAATGGAATTAATCCAAAAGCTTCAGAAATTCAACCAAGCCTTCAACTAGGTCAAGTATCACCATTTGGACATAGTGAAATCATCAAAACACGAAAATAATCTTTCTAACCTTAAACGTTGACTAAAGTCAAACTTTAGCCTTAACTTTTTCCACATCTGGTATAATGGATCAAAATCAAACCAAAAGCCTTGGGACCCAAACTAACAATACATCTAGACCACTATCACCAAATTTTGACTTTGGTCAACTATCTTATGATTTGAAACTTTCAAAACACAAAAGCTCTTTCAAAACTCATCTAAATACCTCAAGACTTGAGCCAATAGTCCTACTAACTCAAAATTCACATTCCAGAGCTATTGGACTTGACAGAATTCCACTCCGAGACTCATAGCTCCGATTGTTAACAAAATCACTTTTAACAACTTCAATTCTCCAAAACTCTAAAACTTCCAAAAATCACAACTTTACAATCAAATTTCAAAACCAGCTTCACAAACTGTTCAAATAAGACTCGGGTTAACAATCTAAAGGGGTAAAAATAATAATTTTCAAAAAATGACCTTCAGGGTCATTACATTATCCACTATTAAAAACCATGTTCATCCCAAACATAAAGAAGGCTAAAGAAGAATACTCGAAGTTACTTAGATCATGAGGCCTAATTTCCAAAGTCAGCCTTTGCTTTCCGAAGTGAACTTATTCGTAGGACCATACCATCAGGATCAACTGTCAAGACTTGAACTTCCAAACCCAAAATTGAAAAAAACTGCAAACCAGGAGTGATTACCAAGCCACGGACTAACCCATGAACCAAACCTGAATCGAAACTCTCTAAACCACAACACAACCATTAAGTTGAATCATTTTCCCACATAACCACAAGAAATTCTGAACTAATACCTGCTAAAACATTAAGCTAAGCCAAAACGAACCACCAAACACTCATAGCAGGAAGGGAGGTCCCAATTAATATAACCCAAAGATTGAGATGATCCAGTAACCACCCAGGGAACGATACACCCAAGCATATGTAATAACACTGTCGGGATGTTGGAATAGTAGTTGTGATAGTAAACAAATTCTGAAAACGGCAAAACTAGGCCAAATAGCCCTTAAAGTCAATCACATTTAGTTGAAACGTGTACTAAACGACAAGATAAATACCAAGGCAATCGGGAAACTAAAATTTCCCATGATAGATCTCATACAAGCACTCTCAACAAGGTTCGCACATGCAGTACCACTAATATACCCTAACATCCCAAAATTCTCCTTTGTCCTACTCGGAATACTCCTTATCAGTATACATAGTTGAAAACTTCTCTAGTTATATAATTTCCACTTATCTGAATTCTCTCTGCATGATATATGATTCGATCACTAATACAGTTTGAAACATACTCGACTCATCAAAACCCAACATGATGACACTTGCCTTCTCCCAAGTCAACCTCAACCCAACGAGAACTAAAGAAATGCAGAAATATAAAGCAAGAATAAGACAAGGGCAGAAAACTTATTCATTCTAAACAATACCCCAAAACCTAGTTGTCAAGTGTACAAGCCACTAACAAAAATACAGAATTCAAAAGATAAATATAAGTCTCAGTCTTTGTTTCTCAAGTAGGAAGAAGATTAAAGGAAAGGAAAAGAGGGTCCATCATGATGACAAACAACTTCCTCTCAAATCCTTCGATGAGCCTCGACTGTTAGGAGAAAAGAAGAAGATCACACGGGTCCGAACTCAAAACCTACATAAGTGTAGAAGCAAGGGGTGAGTACCAAAAACACGGTACCCAGCAAGCAACCTAGAAAACAAGGCATCTAGCTAGAAAACAAATATCCTCTGCACTCTAACTGAACCTCCTCAAACTACAACCTACAAATAAATCAACCCAACCTAGAATTTCTACAATACACGGCTCAAAAGGCCCAATATCCAGAGTTCAATCTTCATAATTCAACCATCAAAAAAGTCAAATAAGTCAATGTCAATGTCAAGTAGTTCAGTTACACGGAACAAGTACATCAATCATAATTAGCAAACAAGTCACGCATAGGCCTCAAATGCATCAATTCACAATGATCAATCTCTCACCAGAACTATTTTCCATCAGCAAAATATCACTAGCCGGAACCATTTCCCATCGGTTTATATCACTAGCTGAAACCATTTCCCATCGACTTTACATCACTAGCCGTAACCATTTTCCATCGACTTTATATCACTAGCTGAAACCATTTCCCATTGTCTTTATAAACATTTTTCCAGAAATGACCTCGACATCACAACACTCGCCGGCAAAGACCTCGGCATAATGAATCATCACGATATTCACAATCAATGCACATAAGAAATATCACACCATACAGAAGAGACAACAAATCATACAATTCAAGTCCACAATCATACAATAAGGTAATTCACATCATCATGTTCATTATAAAACCTTCTCCATTTCAACCCCTTTTTATTCATTTAGATATAATAACTGGACAATTTAAACCCTTCACCTCATCACCATTACCCCCAACACACAATCAACGAAGGAAGTACATGAATTTATTTACTATAATACGAGGTTTATAAAGCCACTTGCCTTAAATCAATCAACAATCACTCCAAGAGTTGAATCTTTCCCTTCTGAATCACTTCCAAAGCCACACAATCTATAATAATAAATTATTAACAATCACTCATCAGAAACAAAAATTCCCACATCAATTATGTAAAGAACTGGGTCAATCAACTCAAAACCCAATTTCAAAATCAAGGTTTGAATTAAGAAAATAACACTTGCAAATGATGTTTAAGGCTTTAGAAACTCATAACTGAAAACCATTTCAAAAAAGGAGATCAAAACCACTTCAAAATCAATATTTTATTAAATTCTTGGGTTCTTGAAGATAACCCCAAATTTCTCATTTCAAAGCTTGATTTGAACACATAAATCCATAAATAATAATGGGTAATTGAAGATTTAGAGTTAAGAATCGTTACCCAAAGATTTTCCTCCAAAAACCTTGTCCAAATCGCCACCCGAAAGCTCCTAAAACTCAAAAATGGTAAAAATATGGTAATCCAAAATGGTTCCGAAAACCCTCTTTGATGTTGTAAAAGCGAGAGGGGTTCGCTTTGCGGGCCTCTCTCCTACGACCAAAAGTGAAGGTCCTTAAGCGATGGTTTCTTCGCAAATGCAAAGGTCAATAGGGGTTAACCCTTAGCAAAAGAGACTCAAACCTTGCTGAAGTGATCCTCACAAAAGTGAGCCATCTCTCGCAAAAGCAGAGCGCACTAGAACTCAGACATCAGAAAATCAACCAACACTCTAAACCTCGAAAGGACTCTCAGGATTTGTTCGGAACACCGTGCACACAAACAACATATTCAAATAAATTATACTTGACATTTTGGACTCAATGAAACCGTTAAAATAGGAATCTTAGGTCTCCTTGACCTGGCACCTGTGAAAACCACAAGAAACTAACTCATGCCTAAAAGGCTAAAACTAACTTGGGACCTCTCAAAAATCAACTAGGACCTTACCTAGGCCTAAAATCATCCCCTAAATCCAACAGAACTCTCAGAATTCCGATCCAAGTATCTGAACCCCGAATGTAGGCCAAAGTCAACTCAAAAGTTAAAATTCCACAATTTCACAACTTAGGACCTCAAATCCTCAAAAAGACTTGTAATAAAAACCTGACAACTCTCTCGTACCAGATTTCACATTACGGGACTGATGGAATCAACAGAATCTCATTCCGACACTTGAAACTCCAAAAGACACCGGAAAACACTTTCTTAACAACTTAGCCTTTCCAACTCAAAACTTACCAAATTCTCAACTCTTAACTCAAATTTGAAAACCAACTTTTTAAACTGAATTATAGAAGATGGTAAATTCATGAATTTTAAAAAAAATGACCAATTGGGTCATATATTATCCACCACTTAAAACCATTTTCGTCCTTGAACATAAAGCAAAAGAAAATACATAGAGCTTAAAAAATAGAGGATATCTAGCACACATATCTAACTTAGTCTCCCAGGTCACCTCTCTAACTGAACGATGCTTCCATTGCACCTTCATTGAACTGATTTCCTTGGTCCTAAGCTTCCGGACCTGCCTATCCAAATGGCTATAGGCTCCTCCTCAAAAGATAAGTCTAGACCCAACTCAACTGAATCAAGGGAAAGTACATGGGACTCATCCGACACATAATTTCGAAGCATGGAAACATGAAACATAGGATGCACAACTGACAAACTAGGTGGCAAGGCCAACTTATAGGCCACCTCTCCCACGCGACTCAAGATACCAAAGGTTCCAATGAATCTAGGGCTAAGCTTCCCTTCTTTCGAACCTCATCACACCATTCATAAGTGACACTTGAAGCCAAACATGATCACCCTTGATGAATACTAGGGCTCAATCTCTCCAATCCGCATATCACTTCTATCAACTTTAGGCTGTCAACGGTCTACCCTGGATTGTAAAAACCTTATCAATAACATCTTTAAGCAAGTCTGTATCTAATTAATCCATCTCAGCTGAATCAAACCATCTGATCAGAGATCTACACCATCTGCCATACAACGCCTCAAAAGGGGTTATCTGAATATTGGAATGACAACTATTGTTATAGGCAAACTCTGATGAGGGAAAATGTTGATCCCATCTAGCACCAAAATCAATCACACAAGCTCGGAGCATGTTCTCCAACACTTAAATCGTCCGCTCAGGCTGACCATCTTTCTGAGGATGACAAGTTGTACTCATATCTAACCGAGTACCCAAACTATGCTGCAAAGCTTTCCAGAAATGGAATGTGAAAATAAAACCTCAATTAGAGAGAATAGAAACTAGGAATCCATGCAATCACACAATCTGGCTGATATAAAGCTTGACTAACTTTTCCAATGTATACTTTACTGAACCAGGATGAAATGGGAGATTCGGTCAACCGATCGACAACCACCCAAATGCGGTCATTACCACTCACAGTGGTAGGTAGTCCTAAATCATAGTTCATAGTGATCTGCTCCCACTTCCAAGTAGGAATATGAATCCTCTGAGATATACCTCCAGGTCGTTGGTGCTCACACTTGACCTGTTGACAAGTCAAACACCTCGAAAAAAATCTGCAATATCTCTCTTCATACCACACAACCAATAGTGCTGGCTCAGGTCATGATATATCTTTGTTGTACCCGGATGGATGGAATATCGGGAACAATGTGCCTCCTCAAGAATCAGTCTAATCAGCTCACCTACCTCGGGGACAATGATCAATCTCTCACTTGAACCATTTCTCATCGGCACAAAAATCACTAACTGAAATCATTTCCTATCAGCTTTATATCAAATCACTAGACGAAAATATTTTCCATCTGCTTTATATCAAATAATTAGCCGTAACCATTTCCCATCGGCTTTATATCATTAGCCGGAACCATTTTCCATCGGCTTTACATCGCTAGCTGGAACCATTTCCCATCGGCTTTATATCACTAGTCGGAACAATTTTCCATCGGTTTTATAAACACTTCTCCAGAAATGAACTCGGCATTACAACGCTCATCGGTAAAGACCTCCGCATTATGAATCATCACATGTCTTCACAGTGTTCACAATCAATGCACACAACCAATATCACACCACACGGAACAGACAACAAATCATTTAATTCCAGTCCACAATCATACTTTCAAGCATTTCATCAATCAATCAACAAAGGTCGTAATAAGACAATTTAAATCATCATGTTCATCACATAACTGTATTCATTTCACCCCTTTATATTCATTTAGATATAACAAGTGGACAATTTAAACCCTTCACCTTACCCCAATTACTCCCAGCACACAATCAATGAAGGAAGTACACTAATTCTACTAGAATACAAGGTTTAAGAAGCCACTTACCTTAAATCAATCAACAATCACTCTAAGATTTGTGTCTTCCCCTTCCAAATCACTTCCAAATCCACACAATCTATAATAATCAGGTATTTACAATCATTCATCGGAAACAACAATTCCCACATCAATTATGTAAAAAAATGGGTCAATCAACTCAAAATCTAATTTCAATGGATGTTTGAATCTAAAAAACAATACTTGAAAATGATTTTTAAGGCTTTAGGAACTCATTAGTGAAACCCAATTTGAAAAAGGGATCAAAACCACTTCAAAATCACCATTTATTAAATTCTTGGGTTCTTGAAGATAATCCCAAATTTCTCATTTCAAAGCTTAATTTGAACACATAAATTCATAAATAATAATGAGTAATTGAAGATTTAGAGTTAATACAAGTTTTCTTTAAGGGTAGCCCTTTCACATATGTGGAATGGAAGAGTAGGCGTTGATTGTATTTTTGAAAGGCTTGACAGAATATTGATTAATTCTGAGTTTCAAGATTTTTTTTCTCACGCTAAGATTGGAAATCTTGCTAGAAATGGATCAGATCATGCTCCTCTACTCCTTAATTGTACTAACAACTCCTCCAGTTTTAAGAAATCCTTTAGATTTCATAAATTTTGGACTGCTCATGAAGATTTTAAGAAGGTGGTAAGTCTTAATTGGGATGCAGAAATTTCAGCTGATCCTTTTTTAGATATTAAGAAGAAGATTAAGAATATAAAACACGGTCTATCAGTGTGGAGCAGAGCCACTTTTGGTGATATCTTTCAACAATTAATAATAAGGGAAGAGATAGCCAAACTAAAGGAGAAATTGTTTGAAGATGACCCTTCTGAGGAGAATAGGACAGTGATGCGAAGAGCTAAGGTTGAATACACTAAATACCTTTATCTTGAAGAATCTTTTTGGCAGCCGAAAGCAGAATATGAATGATTTGTGAATGGAGATAGAAATACCAGATTCTTTCATACTTTGGTGAAAGGGAGAAGGCAGAAGCTGAAGTTGATGAAGATTGGTGTTGGTTAGTAGATCAAGGGGAAATTGCTAATGAGGTTGTTCAGTTTTATCAAAATCATTTTTTACAGGATAGAGATTCAACTGACTTCACTCCATTAGCTCATATTCCAAAAATGGTGAGTGAAGAGGAAAATGTTAAATTACAGGCTATTCGTGACAGTATTGAGTGAAGAATCCAGTATTCAAACTTAATGGGGATAGTTCAAGTGGACCAGATGGTCTTTCATGCATATTCTACCAAACATGTTAGGACACTATTGGATATGATATTATCAAAATGGTTCATGATTTTTTTTACTCGCAATTTTCTCTCTAAATCTATTACTCATACTAATTTGATCCTTATACCTAAGAAGAAAATGTGAAAACTTTTTCAGATATGAGACCAATTACTTTGAGTAACTTTATTAACAAGATCCTTTATAGAATCATTCATGACAGACTAGAAGCTTTATTACCTAAGATCATCTCAGGTAATCAATCTGGTTTTGTCAAAGTAAGAAGTATTATTGAGAATTTCCTTCTTACTCAAGAGCTGGTTACAAATATCAGTAAGAGAGGTAAACCTTCCAACGTGGTGATTAATCTTGATATGACTAAATCTTATGATAGGGTGTCATGGTTCTTCCTAATGAAGGTGATGAGAAAATGGGGTTTTCTAACATCTTTGTTTACTTGATATGGAGATTGATTTCCAATAATTATTACTCTGTGCTTATAAATGGTCATCCACATGGTTTCTTTCATTCAACCAGGGGAGTGAAACAAGGGGATCCTCTATCTTCTGCCCTAATTATTCTATCTACAGAAGTTCTCACTGGAGCCCTCAATCATTTGTTTGATGATAATCAATATGTAGGGTATGGGATGCCGAAATGGAGTGCTAAACTGAACCACCTTGCATATGCAAATGACACTATTATTATTTTTCACTGATGTGTATTCCTAGAAAGGATTATTTTTGTATTGCAGGAATATGAGAAGCATTCTGGACAAAAAATTAATAAGGGGAAGAGTTTTACTATCTCCATCAAAAAGTGGCATTGAACATATCTTCTTTGATTGTGTAGTTACATGTATGGAAAAGGGCTCTTTTCCTATGAAGTACTTAGGTTTTCCAATCACTCACAAAAAGAAATGAAAAGAAGACTATGTTGATCTTATAGAGAGAATGAAAAGGAAACTGTAAGCTTGGAAGGGTAAGATGTTGACATATGGTGGTAAGGAAGTACTTCTCACTAGTGTACTTCAGAGTATTCCTATTTATGTTCTATCAACAATTGTTCCTCCACTTTGTGTTATTAGAGATCTTCACAATATTATTGCAAAGTTCTTTTGAAGCAATAAGGAAGTAGGCAGAAACAAGTATTGGTCAACATGGGATAAAATTTGTCTACCATAGCAGGAAATAGGACTTGGATTTAGATCAATGTTTGATGTGTCCCAAGCTATGTATGCTAAGCTTTGATTGAGATTTTGAACACAAAAAAGTTTGTTGTCTAATTTCCTATGGAACAAATACTGTAAAAAAGCATATCCCATCTCCTGTTCAGTGGAAAGGAGGATCTCAAATGTGTCAATTCATGTTAGAAAATAGAGAAAAGATAGAATAGTTCTTGTGGTGGGAACAAAAAGGAGATACCTCAAACATCTGGTACAATAATTGGACAAATCTTGTTCCACTATTTATGCATCATTCAACTCTACAGATTTGTTACGGGATGAGTGATATAAAAGAATTTCTTACACAAGAAGGTTGGGACTATGATGTGATGCAAGACAAGCTTCCAGATTATGTAGTGGAGCATGTTAAAAATAATTTAGCCACTGCTCAGTTTGTTGATATCAAGGATAAACCTTGGTGGACTAAAAGTAGTAAGGTTGCTTCAGTATTAAGAGTGCTTGGGATTTATTGAGAATGAAATGAGATATTAATATGGATTTGAAAAAATCTATGGAGAAAGGATTTACCTTACAAAATTTCTTTTCTTGCTTGGAGAGTTTGGCAAGGTAAAGTTCCAGTGGCTCACTAAATGAATTCTTAGAACTTAGACATTTCTCCAAATTATAGACGTTGTTCAAATCCAGAAAGAGAAACTATTGACCATCTTTTTTATAATGGAGAAGTAGCAAAGAGCATATGGTCTTATTTCAATAGAGTTGTAGGTATAATCGAATCACCCTATCTGAAACAACATATAAGGAATTGGTAGAGCACAAATGGGAATGTTTAATTGAAAGAGGTAATTCTCGTGGTGCCTATGATCATTCTTTGGTTCTTATGGAAAAGAAGGAACACTATCCTTCATGGAGGGTTTTTTTTCTAATGCTAAGATTATTAGAGATGTCACTGCTATTATTAGTCAATTTATTATGCCCAGATTTAAGATCAGATGGGACAGCAATTGGCCAGGTATGATTGAAGGATTTGAAGGTTATAGTCCATGTTAAATCATTAGAATTGTGAGATGGTCCCCTCCCCCTGATCATTGGGCTTAAGTGTAATATTGATGGAGCATCAAGAGGTAACCCAGGACCAAGTTCTTCTGCTTTTTGTACAAGGGATCATTTTGGGAATTTGGTGGTGGCCAAAGGTATTAAAATTCAGGAGACTACTAATTTGGTTGCAGAAGCTAGAGAAATTTGGGAATGCTTGGAATATTGTAAAGATCGGAGGCTTACTAATATCAGCATTGAATCATATTCCATGGCCATGGTGCAGATATTAGAAGGAACATGGAAACCCCCATGGAGTGTGGCATTGGAGGTGAATCATATTATAAGATTGCGGAGATTTGTATCAACAAGAGTGCAACATTCCCTACGGGAAGGAAATGCGCTGATTTTTTTTGCTAATATGGTTTTTGATTTTAACCAATCAAGTCCAGGATATGCCAGCAGCAAGATGAAAGATTCTACAACTAGATAAATTAGGTATACCTCATGTAAGAAGGCAAGTCTCGGATGCGATTTAATTTTTGTGTTTCCATAGTTTTACTTGAAATAAGCTGAATATTCCTAGCAAGTACATAATTAACAATAGTTGCAATCTTGTTAAAGCTCCAAAGTTGGAAGAATTTCTAATGATTTGTGTATTTGCACCTGGTGAGAGCTTTGGAGGTGTTATATGTACCAAATCAAAACTTTGTTGCTACTAGAGGACAACACTGTTATGCTAACTTGTTTGACATGATAATCCTAATCTCAAGATCATACATCTAAAGGTCTTTCAAGAACACTAGATTCAACTCTTTGGATGATAGATCTGATGGTGGCATTAATTTCATTTGAAATTCAGCCAATTGATTAATCAAAAAAGGGGAAGAATTTAAGTTCGTTGAAAACTACCTCATTCTAATTCTTAAATCAAGAACAATGATATATAAATGATTGAAGGGGGTCGGAAGGTACCTGGTAGTTGGGCTGATCGGAGAAGACCATCGGAGCTGAAGAGAAGAGGAAAGGAAAGGGTCGAGAT